AGAACGCGCGCGCGCCATCTGACGGTCGTTTCGTTCGTTTTAACGTTTCGCAGCGGCAGCGACATCTTAATAATCTCGCCTCGGCCACACTTTGACAGCTAAATTGAGCGGTCACTCGTAAATTGTCTACCTCTTTTTCTTCTTCTTTTCATTCTCCTTCTTCCTCTTACTCTTTCAACATAACGCCATCTTTCGCTTAATCTACTTAGCTTTAATAATTTCTTCTTTTTTTCTAACACAACCAACTAGATTCTTTAAAAATCTCGTTCAACATTTAATTCTTTTTTATTCAAGTTAACCTTAAAAAATTTACAAAAAATTTTGATTTTTTTTTGATTTTTGAAGAAGAATAAAATTTATTGTTCACGATTTTATATGAGCAGCGGCAAAAACGGCTCAATTAATGGTTGGGTCGTTTTGAAAATGGCCGTTTCTCTTTTAACGGAGGCGTTTCCGCGCCGATATTAATCGTAATTGGTCTTCTCCCTGAGAGAGGCGACGTCGAAGAACAAGAAGATGAAGAAGAAGAGGTAGTTGGAAGAAGAAGAAGAAAAGGACGAAAAGAGAGAGGCGTTTAAATTAACGAGATAATAAATTGTCTGTTTGTAATAATTTCGATCGGAATCGATTTGTAAAAGGTTAAAAGGTTCGAAGAAGATTAAACGCGATGCTGTTGAAGAAAATTGAACGAATTTTAAAAATTAAAATAAAAAGACTATACTTACAGGAGTTTTCTACCAGAAAAAAATGTTTAAATTTAATAAAAAATTAGCTCGACAAAAAGATTGGTGAGTTCATATTGTCTTGAATATAAACATGTTTCGTAATTGTCAAACAAAGGAGTAGACGAAACATGTTGTGTTACCACAACACAACAATTAACAACATATTGGACACCTCGTTGAAGATTACAGTGTGTTAATTAATTAAGTATGCAACCAATATCGCAAATCGCGTATTGCAATAGTAATACTGTGATAGTGGTTGCATAATTGCAATAATGTCGTCGGGTACGATAATTAATTAGCACAGTGTATGTGCAGACCATTTTTCCAGATGTCGAAATTAACCCAGAAGCAGAACTGGACGTTTCCAGCTGCAACGTACTCGCAAATATCCACAACGCCCTAAACATGTTCTCCTCCATTGCTTCATCATCATCATCAACGACTTGACAACTCTCTGTGGGTCTTCGTCTGCTCCAGCATATTCCGCCCTTCCGACATGTTACAAGACATCCTTCTCCAATTGATGAACCCAAGAGTTTTGGTGTAGTCCTCCACCTGGTCCAGGTATTTTGTCTTGGGTCACTCCTATGACTTGTTCTTGTGCCTTATTTGGAGTTTGTTTTGGCAAACATCTTTGTATGCTAAGTCATATCTTCTACGCTATTCTCCATTTTTGAACACTGCTGTAGCAACCCCCATATATGCTATATGTTTTAATAACAGAAACTTATACAACTGCTTTGTATATATGGCATAGTATTTTCCTCTCAAAGGTGCCTAATAACCTCTCATCCCTCTGTGACAGAACCCACGTCTCCTTCTACTTATGTTTGTGTAATTCGATGGGCAAAGTTCTAGAAGTTATACTAAGAGATAGAATGCATATAGGGATCGAAGAAAAGAACTTATTACTTGAGCAATACAGCTTCAGAAAGGGTAGATCTACCTTAAGCATAAACAGTCATGGTGATTGTAGAAGAAATAAAGGAAAAGAGCTATGCCCATCGAGATAATTACATACTGATACCATTAGATATTGAAAATCATATCAGCAGCGCTGTCATATCTAAGTGGCCGAAGTGTGTTGTAGCCGAGGAGTCTGTGTTCGGTCCGACCTTATGGAATGTTTTCTACAACGAAATCTTTATTATCAGAATGGAATCGGTTGTCAATCTGGTGGTGACCTGGTAATCGTGGTAAAGGGGAACAATAGGGCCTAAAAGAGAACAGAGATGCATTGGCGGTGAGGTGAGTGATTGAGGGGCTGAAGACGATGGAACTTAGAGTGGCCGAAGCCTAGACGGAGCTGGTGCTACAGAAAGATAGGAGGAGAATTAGGCAATTGAGAATTGACATAAACGGTTCCAAGATAGAAGATAAAGGGGCAGTGAAGTACCTGGGGGTACATATAAGACTGATTCCAAAGAATGGGTGATCGCGTGCCAATGTAAGGAGGCTGATTGCAAGCGCGGTGATATCGGTGGGTTGTAGACCAACACAGAAAACTGCAACAAAGGGTTAACAAAAGATTATGCATAGGCATAGCAGTGGGGGTTTAGATGATTGTTGTGATGTCGTCGTTAGATTTGCTGGTGTAGGCACGAAGTCGTGTTTATAAGAGGGGAAATCTTCAGTATAACGGTTTTTATTAACGAGAATAATGATACCGGACTTTTGATGCCTGAGTTAATAGAGAGGCGGGGAAAGTAAATTATCACACGACACAGAGGCTTACTGGTCACGGGGTCTTCGGGACATATCTAAAAAAGAAAGGGAAGTGAGTAAACAGATACCGTCGTACAAAGAGTTTGATGAAATGAGCGCTGCAGAGAATATGAGGAGATGCTCAGCGTGGTAAATGCCAGAAGAATTATGTTGAGCGGAGACGTAAACTGGAATGCGCTAAGTAGGCTCTTCTGACAAATCACGAGCGGCAAAGAAGAGGTGGGAAAATGGCATAATAGCAGGTGTTACTTTTCTTGCTACTATGCAACCGCACAAGAACTAAGGTCGAGTGTTTGATAGCAGATTTCCTCATCCCTCTATAATATAAAAAAGACCCTCGACTCAGTGCCATACCCCAAGACTTGGCCATATTGAGACTTTTTGATAGGCTGTCAGATTTACCCTTCGTTTCAACACGTCGTATTCCTAATCTCTGCGAATTACGTGTCCTACCTCGAATTATCTTTAGTCCAGTTTTCGTTGTTGGTCTTTCTATGAGATTAAAGGCTTCTACCATATCCCTTCTCGTCCTAGCAATTATGTCAACATCATCCTCGAACGACAAGATCTGGACGGTTTTGTTCACTATAATCCCTCTTATGTTAACTCCCGAGTCTCTTATGGCTATCTAGAGTACCATGTTGAACAGACAGATACATCATAGCTTCATTCTGCACCCTACCCATAGTTTTCACCTTGAGTGTTTCTATAATTAATGAAATAAGGTGCGTTGACGATATCTTGAGATCTGACATTGCTCTGATTAGATATATCCTAGAGATAGAACCATAGCCGCTTTTAAAATTACAAATAAATGGTGCGTTTCTATGTTATATTCCATTGCCTTTTCCAGTTAGCTGCAGAAATCGCACTAATAGGTGCTGATATCTTTCACATATAGGTAATGTTCGTGGAGAAATCTGCAACGAAATACCACCAATTGGAAATCTGTAATTATCGGCCGTTGAGTCGATAAAGCAGTGAACACGATTAGATGACAGCAAGAAAAGAAGAAGTCCAGAAGAAGTCGTTGAGAACAGTAGTGAAAAAAGATTGTTTTATTTTAAAGTATAATAGAAAGAATGTGATGATGTTTTAAAATAAATAAAGGTTAATAAAGAAATATAAACAAAAAATGGTCCTTCGAGAAGCCGGATATATCGGTAAACTGGTTGAAAAAACTGAAAATTAAGAAAAAATCCACGTTGGGCGTGACACGGCTGAATCCACCATTTTGATGACAAGAATATATAAAAACGAGTAAGTGAGTGCTGAATTCCTCTTTGTTTTTATCTGATCCCTGTTCCTAACCTTTTGTTTACGATTTACGATGGCTGATTTGAACGGTTTAATTAGAACTCGCTCGGTCACAAAATCTGCATTGACTAGATTTGAGAACTATGTAGCAAAATTCATAGAAAATAATGGTTCTATGGGTGAATTAAAAGCAAGACAAGTAAGAGCTCAACTATTGCTGAATGAGTTTGAAGAAGTACAGTTGAAGATTGAATTGATTGATGGTGACTCGAATTACGAACAAGATCGTGTAGCATTCGAAGAAAGGTTTTATCGAATAATGTCCGAATGTGAAAGGCTCTTGGAAAGGGAGAATATTACTACTGAATTGGATACCAGGATTTCGGAGTCTGCAACAAATGCCATTACTGATGATTTTATACGACTACCAACCTTGAATTTGCAAACGTATGATGGTTCATATGAAAACTGGCAAAGTTTTAAGGACACATTTGAGGCTACGGTAGGGCAAAATCCAAAATTGAGCAAGGTTCAAAGGTTTAGATATTTACAAGGGTGTTTAATTGGTAAGGCTGCTGAAACTATCCAGTCAATCCAAGTGTCGAATGATGGGTTGGATGTTGCTTGGCAGATTCTGTGTGATCGCTTTGATAATAAAAAACTTTCTATTCTCGCACATGTAAAATCAATTGTCGATATACCAACACTGCATAAAGAAGATAGTATTCTGTTGAGGAGGTTGTATGACACATATCTGAAACATTTCCGAGCTCTTAAAGCACTTGGTGAACCTGTGGATTCCTGGGGAACATTGTTGATATACTTAATTATATCTAAATTTGATAACGTAACACGAAAATGTTGGGAAACTGAGACAAATTCTACAAGTGTACCTATCTTATCTGAATTGGATAACTTTTTGAAACAAAGATGTTTGTTGTTAGAGACCATAACGAGCAAATCAGATCAACAGAATAAAAATATTAACAATAAAAATTATAAAACTGCTACTACTGTGAAAGGGATCATACTATTTTCAAATGTAAAGATTTTCTGGCATTTAACATAAATAAAAGAAGAGATGAGGCAAGGAGGTTAAATTTGTGTTTTTTATGTTTGGGAAGACAGCATCGATATATTGACTGTAAGGCAAAAAACTGTTCTAAATGTGGTGCGAAACATAATGTACTTCTGCACTCTGAGTGGAAAGCTTCTGAAGCCAATAATACTTCAGAAGTAACTGCACACACACAGCAACACACAGATGGTCAGGTATTGTTATGTACAGCAATGATTCTGATAGAAGACTGTTTTGGTAATAAGGTAAGAGCACGAGCGCTTCTGGATAGTGGCTCTACTGCAAATTATTTAACTGAATCTCTGACAAGAAAACTTAGATTGAAAACTGAAGAAAAATTGGTAAAAATTTCTGGAGTTAACGGTTCATCATCTTGGGTGAAAAATATTGCAACAACGACAGTTGCTTCAGAAAGAGGAAAATTTGCAACGACTTTATCTTTTCTAATCATTAGTAAAATTACTGAGAACATTCCCGCTGTGAAGCTATGTACATCTGAATTCAAACTACCAGGGGATGTTCATTTGGCTGATCCTAGATTTTTTATTTCAAGAAAGATAGACATTTTATTGGGTGCACAGATATTTTATGAGTTAATTCTGGACGGGCAGATTAAATTAGATACGATTACATTGAGAGAATCTCACTTCGGATGGTTAGTCACCGGAACACTGCCCACGGTGAACCATGTAACATGTCACCAAACGTTTCACAATGTCAACAACATAGAGATTTCTGTCGAGAAATGGTGGGAGATGGATGATGCAGGGGAAGAAACGGATTTTAGTTTGGAGGAGTTGAAGTGCGAAAAGAGTTTTAAAGATTCAACACGAAGAAACAAGGATGGTAGATTTATTGTTGGCAATAAAAAGATTTCGTAATTTGGAACGAAGGTTAGAGCAAAATCCTACTCTGAAGACTGAATATTGTCAATTTTTGCAAGAATATGAAGACGCTGATCACATGTCAAGAGTTGATGAACTGCATGAGGAAACACTGATGCCAATTAAAGATGATTTGAAAGGAGAGGCTTACTATATACCACATCATGCAGTACATAAGATGGACAGTTCTACCACCAAGATAAGGGTAGTATTTGATGCTAGTGCTAAGAGCAGTAACGGATTGTCACTAAATGACATCTTAATGAATGGTCCAGTGATTCAAAGCGAATTATTTGCTATACTATTAAGATTTAGAGAATATAATATTGTGTTGTCTGCGGATGTAAAGCAGATGTTTCGACAGGTATTAGTAAGTGAAGAGCAACGAGATTGGCAAAGGATTCTGTGGAGAAAAAATATGAATGACAAAATAGGAATATTTAAATTGAATACTGTTACTTATGGCTTGAAGCCTGCCACTTATCTGACGACTAGATGCATTAATGCTATCGCTTCTGAATTCAAAGAAGTCTATCCAATGGCTTCTGATCTAATACTGAAAAATATGTATGTCGATGATATCACCTTTGGAGCTAACAGCATGCCTGAAGCTTTAAAACTCAAAACTGAAATCAATGATATTCTAGAGAATGGTTGTTTCGAGCTGAGAAAGTGGCGAAGTAATTGTTCCCAGCTATTGAATGATTCTGGACACAGCAAATTGAACGATAAACATTTCATTAAAGATAATTCTGAAATAAAGACTTTGGGTTTGGTTTGGGATTCGCAAGAAGACGTATTGAAGTTCTCAATCAACTTACATCTGAACTCGAATAATAAAGTAACTAAAAGAATGGCACTATCATTGATTTCTAGAATCTTTGACCCCTTGGGCATAGTTGGTCCGATAACTGTTAAGGCTAAACTTTTTATGCAGGGTTTGTGGTCGTTGAGCTTGGCTTGGGATGATCCTTTACCGGGAACAATGCAAAACGAATTTGCTGAACTCACTGAAGATTTAAAACAAATCAGCAGCATTGCTATTCCTCGCAACACGATTGCTGAAAATTGTACTCTTTTAGAGATTCATGGATTTTGTGATGCTAGTTTAAAGGCGTATGGTGCTGCGATTTATTTACGTTCTAAGGATCACTCAGATAACGTCAAAATGGAGTTACTCTGTTCAAAATCAAGAGTTGCACCTTTAAAAAAATGTACGCTTCCCAGACTTGAGTTGTGTGGGGCTGTGTTACTTGCTACTTTGGTCAAGGTCGTTTCTGAAGAATTGTCTTCTCGAGTTGCTAGAATATGCTTGTGGACTGATTCCTCAATTGTTGTCTATTGGATAAGATCTGATTATAAGAAATTCAAACCTTTTGTTGCAAATAGAATTCAAAGAATTCAATCACTTACAAAGTGTGAAATGTGGAATCATATTGCAGGTACTGATAACCCTGCTGATATTCTTTCTCGAGGTGCCTCAGCACCAAATTTAAAGCTTTCTACCTGGTTTACTGGTCCTCATTGGTTTAAAATGAATGAGCTAAATTGGCCAAATACTGCAATGAAGATATCTGATGACAATGAGTTGTGTGAAGTAAAAAGGATATCGATGATATCGCTTTTATGTTCCGACAGTAGGTTTGATGAATCAATAAAGGTAAACGCACCTTCTTTAACTGCTGATGAGGTTACTGATGCATTTGATGTTGTTTTGAAGTTGATCCAGTGGGGCGATTTTCGCCAGGAGATAGAGTGTTTAACGAAATATGGTACGATTAATAAAAGAAGTAAGATTTTGGGACTGGATCCATTTTTGGACAGGCATGGACTTTTAAGAGTGGGGGGACGCTTAAGAAACTCAAGGTACACTTTTGACAAAAGACATCCAATCATTTTGCCGAAGAGTCATTTTGTAACAAGGCTGATAATAAAGGCTGAACATCTGAAGTACATGCATTTAGGAGCACAGGGGTTATTAGCTAGTCTACGAGAAAAATACTGGCCTGTGTCTGGTTTGGCAACTGTCAAGGGAGTGCTCAGGAATTGTCACGTGTGCTTTAAATTCAATCCCGGAAGAGAGTTTAGCTTGAAAATGGCGGATTTGCCCTACGAACGAATAAAAGATTCTAGACCGTTTAAATTTGTAAATGTCGATTTTGCCGGACCTTTTGTTATAAAGGAGTCGAAATTTAGAAACAAAAGATTGATTAAGTGTTACGTTGCTGTATTTGTGTGCTCTTCTTCTAAGGCTGTTCATCTGGAGCTGGTCAGCGATTTAACGTCTGAGATGTTTTTGAACTGTTTTAAACGATTTGTGGGTAGACGTGGTGTTCCTGCTAGCGTATATTCTGATAATGCCACGAATTTTGTTGCAGCTAATAAGGATTTGCAATCATTTTTTAATCGGAGTAAAGATTGGTCAGAAGATGTACAAGACTATTTAATGGAGAACAATGTAAAGTGGCGATTCATGCCTGCACGTACTCCTCACTTCGGTGGATTACATGAAAGTGCAGTAAAATCCATGAAAAATCATTTAAAAAAGATACTATCTGCTAGTTTAACAATAGAAGCTATGACAACTGTTCTGTGCCAAATAGAATCAATTTTGAACTCCCGTCCTTTATACCCAATGTCCAATGATCCTAATGACCTGTCAGCACTCACACCGGGACATTTCCTCATTGGAGAATCACTTACTGCTTTACCACAATCTGCGGAACCTCAACCTCCAAAAAGTGCTCTAAACATTTTTAAGTTATTACAACACCAAATCCAAATGTTTTGGAAAATCTGCTCTAAGGAGTACCTGTGCACATTGCAAACGCGAGCTAAATGGAAGAAGAATGGAAATAATGCTAACCAAAGGGTTCGATGTGGGAATTTAGTACTCTTGAGAGAGGAAAACGTTCTTCCACAGTGTTGGCGACTAGGACGCATCCATGAATTACATCCTGGAAAAGATGGTGCCATTCGAGTTGTCTCTGTTAAGACATCGAATGGAATTGTAACAAGAGGGATTGGAAAGGTATGTCCACTTCCCCCGGAGCAGCAACCTTTCGCGCCCCTGGAGGATGGAGAAATCTGCAACGAAATACCACCAATTGGAAATCTGTAATTATCGGCCGTTGAGTCGATAAAGCAGTGAACACGATTAGATGACAGCAAGAAAAGAAGAAGTCCAGAAGAAGTCGTTGAGAACAGTAGTGAAAAAAGATTGTTTTATTTTAAAGTATAATAGAAAGAATGTGATGATGTTTTAAAATAAATAAAGGTTAATAAAGAAATATAAACAGTTCGATAGTAATTTATATACAAAGTGCATGGCTTTGTGATTAGCACATTGGAGATAGTCGCCCTTTTTATGTATAGGTACTATAATTCCTAGATTCCATACTTGAAGGAGCTGTTGTCTTTTCCATATATTCTTTGCCAGTTCCCGTAAGACCTGCTCAACCTATCTCCTTCTTCCTTGATTATTCAGTTTCTCATTCTCTCTATTGCCATTAATACTTCCTTGGGTATTTATCTTTCCCTTACGTCAGTTAGATTTATTACTCTCGTCCTCCTTATCATCTAGCAATCTATTAGTATAGTGTTCCAGCTACCGGTACATTATCTTGTCTTGTTTCGAAAGAATATTTCCATGTTCATCCCTACGCATTGCTATTTTTGGTTTAAATTCTCTTAGACTACTTTTTATTTTCTAGTAGAATTTTCTGGTAATTTTCTGATTACCACCTGAGAGTCTCCATTTTCTGGAATTTCCTGTTAAAGCTATCCCTCTTCTTCATTCTATGCGTTCCGAAGTGTCTTACTTATAATGTTCTATTTCCCTGGTCCTGTCTTACATTTTTGTATAGGCTTCATTTTTCTCTAAATGATTCCCATTCCTCATCGACGCTTCCTTCATACTCAGCTTGAATCTTCCTTGTTATATTTATTTCATACTGTCCGGTATATTGATAACATCACAAGGCCGTTAAGTATTACTAAGCAACACTTACCGAATTAGATTTAATATAAATTCAATATAAGCAAACTGTAGCGTAGCTTGTATATATCATATTAAGGGATGAGCATGACCTGGTGAGTAGTTTTTGCAAGTAGCCAGATAGACGACTATACACGTGGACGACCGAGACAATGGAGCTGATAATATCTGCCTTAACCAGATAGACTATATTTTGGCGAATCAAAGATATATAAACAGCTTCGCAAGTGTGCAAACGCGCCCGAATGCCGATACACAGTCGGACCACAATGGATTTGTGGGAGAATATAGTATGAAATCAGTCCAAAATTTAGTACAAAAGATTCCTTCGTTTTTAAAACGCAATCTAAACTACTTTACCTACAGACATGAACGATATAGCCAAATATTCGCAAACTCCCCACGATTTATTGTTTGCCTCTGGAGATAGCTTAAGATCACTATCTGCATATATTTTACAATATGACAAAGCAGCAAAAAAGTTTTTGTCTTAAAATATACGTCCGTCCGTTGCAACAGTACAACGCGCTTTTAGAAGACAGTATGGAAAAGATCCACCTTATAAACAGAGCATTTTGCGATGGTATCGGCAATATAAGACTACTAGTTGGACATTGCTGTACAGACTTTACAGAAATCTACATCTGGAGCAAGCTTCGAGCTAGGAATATCAAAGCAAACTGTTGAATAGATTTTGCGACGACCAATTTTGCGTATTTGCGTATTTGCGCATTTTGCGACACTTACGTTTCAAACTGCACCGTACGCAGCTCCTGCAACACTTAACGTGGGACTATCATATCCGTCGTCTGAAATGTTGTATCCAAATGCAGGAATCATTGGCAAATGAAAATTTCAGTGCTAAATTAATATTCAGCGATGAAGCTGTACAATTCTGGAACACTGGAAATTCATGTCCAATTGTATGTATGTATGTTTGTCATAGAAAGTTAACTGCATATGTTGCGGTTGTGGTTGTTTCCACAACTCACTACAGATTGTAGAGATTTAACATTCCAACAGGACGGACCACCCCCTTATTGGAATAATCCTGTATCAAACACATTACAAAGGAAATCAAGAGATCAACGAATCAATGACAAGTGAAAGACATCAATGATAAGTGCTACGGATAGAGGAAGAAGTGAAGAAGGGAACCGACATTTTTTGTCAGACAAATACCTCAAGGATCATGGAAGGAAATACAGATCATGGATGTCGGGGGAAACCTTCATGCTTATGGGAGAATAAAGGAAGCAAACAAATAATCCACCTATATACAAAATTATAAAGAAGTACATACAAAGAAAAGTTAGTGATGACAAACGAAAGAGGTTAGATTTCCGACAAAAGAGGAGTTCAGATTGAATCTAGACCCAGTATCGTCACAGATAAAGTGAAAGTCACCCTCCACATTCTAAGAGAAGGAAAAGATCCATCGAGACACATGCAAACGATGCGAAGAAAGAATATCAGATACACAGTTTGGGTTAATGACAGGAGTAGGTACAAGAGATGCTCATTTCTGCCTACAAGTGTTATTTCAGCGCTACTGAGACGTTTTCGCCTACTTCGTTGGCTACAGTAAGGCGTGCGACAAGGTACAACAACGAAAAGGTGATGGAAGTTTAGGAGCTAATGGGGGTGAACGACAAGGATCTTGGAATTATACAGAACCTCTACTGGAACTAGTCAGCTACCATTACGATTAATGCAAAAAAAACACAATGGCGCAATCAAAATTTGCCGAGGCGTTAGGCAGAGCTACATTCTTTCTCCACTTGTAATCAGCCAACATACGAATATTAGCGAATGAAGAGCATTTGAACAATATTCGATACACCGACGATACCATGATATTCATTGACAGCAGTAAAAGCTTAGAAGAACTAGTGAACAAATAAGCGACGAGTAGTTAATAGGACCAAGTTCATGATAATTAAGGACACTTGAAAAGTACGATTACCAACACACCAATAGAGAGGGTGTTAGGATTGGGACTATTCTCATAAGATAAGGTGCAGCAAAGAGAAAGCAATAGTTACCTTCAACCACATGGCTAAACTGTTTGAGAGTCATAAACTCAGCATCGATGTCAAAATCAGACTCGAAGAATACAAATTATTTCATTCGAAGGTTTCGAAATCTGGTTCTATAGAAGACTGCGGATCTCATGGGTGGATAGAGTAACTATCAGGACAGTGATGAAGTGAAGTGAAGTGTTAAACATCATCAAGAGATGAAAACTGGAATATATTAGACATATTATGAGAAACAGATCGAAGATCGAAGAAGATGACCAGGAAGAAGGAGGATATCATGGCTTAAAAATTTAAGGACATGGATCTCAAAAATTACCACCGTATTATTCAGAGCAACCTTAAATGGTGTAATCATATCCAGGATGATCGCCAATATTCGAGGACGAAGAAAAAACATCCATCGCCATTCCAGCCAAAAACCTGTATTGCTTGTATTGCATTGGAAGTAGTTCACAAACTTATATCATCACTTCAAAAATTAACCGCTGTGTCAATATTAGCTTCCGATTGAAATTCCTGTATTACATCCAACGTTGAGACTAAGTCTCAATACTCTCACAAGTTTCTTTGCCTCAGAGCTCAGATTCTAGTTTTTCTTACTCACAATTAACACTAGGGAAGTGCAACACGGCGATTTTCTTGAAACCTGGCATACAGGTAGTGTATGGAAAAATATTATATACATATGCCATATGTGCCCGATCGCCGTTTTAAGGGTAGAAATAATGTCACTAAGGGTTTTTGGGGTCGCTGATGACGAATCTGATGTCCGCGTCTGATGTTGCGAAAAAATTTTAAAAATGTGAGAAGTTAGGATAATTTTAAGGCGGATTTCTAGAAAACGGTTGATATCAAAATTACCTTAATTATGCATCACAAGTAGTGATGCATATAACAACCAAATCTTTCTTATTGTTAGCGCTACCCAGGATGAACGACGTGGACGTGATAGGGTTGCTGTCTCATTGGGGTGCTTTATGACCTATGCTTTTAAATTAGTACAGACAGTAACGTCGAGAGTTGTCATTTGTTACCGCAAACAAGTGCTGCATGCACATTAATGTCAAACACCAAGCATATTTAATTATTGCAATATCATTGCAGAGATCACACAAGTTATTGCAGTTTTTGAAACACAAGTCTGCAGGACTTTCGCATTTCTCGGGTTTTTCTGCAATATACCCACACTTTCACCCAACGTATCGAAATATATTCTTAAATCTCGGAGAGAAAAACTGATTGTGTATTAAAGACTGTATTTTGACTGTATTTTGTGAATGAATTCAGTTGTTCCAGCTTGAATCGTAAAAATTTGGATGTTTTTATAGTCTTTATCAATATTGTCAAATTTTCTTTCAGTCTGGCCAGTCCAAGAATCTAACAAAAGAACAGAGTTTTCCTGGGTGTTTGGTAAAAACACGTGTTTGAACCAATTAATGGCAAGATCAGATGTTAATTTGCCTGATTTTGTTGCAAATACGGCAATATTGTCTACTTTGTAGAAAGTTTTTACATGCACTCCTACTTGTAGTGATGAGTTTCCATGATTCGTTACTGTTAGGGGTAGTTGTTACAACTCATTAGTTAAATTTTTAAAAATTTTTCACAATTTGAGAAGAAATGACAATATATGTGTCGAATATTTTTCCATACTCTACTTGTGTGCCAAGTTTCAAGAAAATCGCCGTATGGCACTTCTCTAGTGTTACTTATCTGAGGTTCAACATTCCAAACAATACATTTGACTCAATCGCCAATAAATTTTTTTGTATGTACTTCTGCCTTAACGTTAATTAATAATAATATGTTTGATTTTATCAAATTTTGTTAGAAGTTGAAGTCATCATTAAATTTTAGCTTTTTGCTGGTATTACGACAAAATATTTCCCATTCACATTTAATACCTTACAATCCAGTCCCAGCTCTCTAACATTTCCATGATTGATATGGCTCCTAAACCGATAAGACTGAAACATCCATACCTTCTCGGTCTCGAACACCTCACTCATCATCACCTTTGCTCTGCTGCAATTCATTTGCATGACTTACAACCCATCCATTATCAATCCTTGCTTTATAAAT